CGCCTCTATGACACCCCCATTGAGGTCACCGAGTCTTAGAGAAAAGGGCTAGTGAAGTGAGTACTACCCACCCAAGCGCAGACACTGGCCTCTCTCTGCACCTGCAAGAGCTGGCGGAGAGCATCCACTCGATGCTAGCATGAGTCCAATCGGAACGCAGTTGTTATAACCGGAGTCCACTTATATCGAACCTCCTTTTAAAACTCGTCTTCAAACTTATTTTTAGTCTTTGGCTTTTGACTCTGCACGAGACTTGATTTTTAGCTCCAGTTTTTGTGCTTTTTCATTGTCCTTGTCATCAATTTGTTTTAGTGTTTTGTTGTGGCCTGACTTCTTTTTGCTCCACGTCGGGCGCTTTGTATGCAGCTGCGGTTGTTTTAAAGTGCTCTATAAATACAGCTGAGTTGATTTGAGATACCCGGCCATTGTTACGGAGTAAAGGAACGTTTAGGCGCGATACCAAAGGACTTCTGTCTCCTCTTTCCGGCATTCTAGTGGGTCTGTTAACCCTTTCTGTCCTCGTGGATTTATGATGTTTACAGATGTGCTCAGCTCCTGGAGCAACAGCCCAGATCTTCCCAGCACTCCAGCGGGGGCAGCCATCTTTAATCCAGTAAAGAGCGCAGGGATTTGGCGGGCCCCCCTGGCCCTCGCCCGAAGGCGCTTTGGAAACCCCTCGGCCGTGAGAATGGAAGGAGGGGGAGGGTGTGAGGAGCCCATGTAGAAGGTTGGGGTTGGGGTGACCCCCCCCCCCCGCCTCCCATCCCCAAGCCCCACTCTCCGTCCCCTTTTGTGAATTTAGTTAATCTAATTTGAGTCCCTCACAACACCAATTCTCTCTCTTTCTTTCTCTCTCTCCTTGGCGCTTCCTCGCCCGCCCCTCAAGTGACGTTGAATGATGAAGCCGATACATTCATCAAGCGCATGAATGGGTTTTTTATATATGAGGAAACGATCTAAAAATGGGGGTCATCTTGGACTGGGGGGGTGTGATATTAAAAGTGGAATAGTACAGTGGTTTTATTAATCTCACATTTTTACATCCGTTTTTTTTTTTTGTCCTACACAAAGTGAAAATATTTTCATCTGGAATTCGTTCTTGCACTATTGCAAGAGCGTATCAGTTAAAGTCATGAAATCTATCAAGTGAACATGAAATAAATGAAGCTATGCATCGATGAAATTAGTACTCAATTTATTCAATAGCTTCACGATTGTCATGAGATCTCAAAATGTAATCAGGCAAAGGCCAATTGAATTGTTTCACTTGTTGATTGGTCATGGCAACTGAATAGTGATTTTTTTTTTAAAATAAATCCAACATGTTATGTCATATTTCAAAATATAGTTCATGATTTCATTATTTCCAATTTGATTTCAGTGGCAATGAAATTAGCTCACATTTTAATTAACGAAAAATGATCTGATCAACTGCCACTTTGTAATGATATTTAATTATATATATTCGCCGTAAAAGGACGTTTATGTGTATAATTTTTTAAATCGGTGGACAATTGAATGTTCACATTTAAATTGCTTCATGACCTATTTCACATTTCGGTAAACTTATTTAATTGTCTGTTGAACAGCCGTTTTGTCGCGTTATTTGATCAATTGTATTGGGAAATAATGACCTTTTAAATATAAAATGTTAATCGCATTTTACTAAAATATTTTCAATTAATTAGTAATTTAATTAGCGGTTGATTTGGCAATTTGTCACATTCACATCCTGTTTATTTGCTCTGAACAGGCGTTGACGTACCATTATCAAATAGTTTCCACATCATAATTGGATTATATTTTGAAATGTAGTTAATTGGGACATGTTCATTTATAATGAATTCACATTTCAATCACTATCAATTGAATATAATAGCTAATTGAATTATCGATGTGATTGCCATTTTGAGGGCTGGGGGGGGGCGTCAGCCGAATTTTTACGGATGTTAATTGGGGTTTGTGCCGCTTCACAGCCATGCATTAAATGTGTTTTGAGCTCATTTGTGTTTCACAAAGGCCTTCTGACACTGCATACAGGATGCAAATAGTGTGCTGCTAAGACCCCCCCCCGGCCCCTTTTTTTTTTTACACACACACACACACACACACACACACACACACACACACACACACACACACACACCCTGCCACCCTTTTGCCGTTTTGCACCTCTGATTAACTCACTGTGATGTCGTCGGATATCAAGTGGGTATTAACTCATTAGGGCCGTCGCCTTTGAAGTCGCTCCCGGGCATCATCTGGGTCTCGTAATCCTTTTTTAATGGCCCAGCGAGTGGGACAGTGGTTCAACAAAATGATTCATTTGACAGTCTCTCACACCTAATGCACCTTTCTTTTGTGCGTGTGCATGAATGAGTGGAAAATCGGCTGTTCATTTCGTAAACTAGTCACTGTTGAGGTGTCAGGTCGAGCAAGGCCTTCACTGCTGACTTCCATTTACAACCTCAATTCCAATATTAGTTCCATGAAATTGGATTCCATTATTCCCAAAGTCTATTCTTGTCATTTTGTAGCATTGTTAAAAAAATAAAATAAAAATACATGGGATGCAGACTTGGGGGGAGGGGGGGGCGATAATTGCATAATAAGTCCCACACAGTCCGAATATTGAGGAAAAAGACGGCAATTTAATCATTTCTCAACATCTTTTTCCGCCACCTCCATGATTTGATTTGTTTGTCAGAGGGGAATGTCAAGACGAGCAAAGACACATCTGGGGCAGTCTGCGCTCATTTTTTTTTTTTTTCTTTTGTCGAGTTGGACTCTTGGACGTATTGTGGTGTCATTTTGGGTTAATGTTGGCTGTTTCTATAAATGCAATCTGATGATGGTATTCAAAGCGGTGACGAGGTATCAAATGCACCGCCGGCCGCTGCTGTTAACAAGATGCGATATCAGTCAGTTTCCTCCATCCTCTTGTTCCTTGAGCTTTGTAACGTCAGTGTGTCCCCCCGCCCCCTCTTCTCATTATTTAACTGGAGGCAATAAGGTGATGAGGGGCAGGAATGCAGTCGTGGAACTGTAAGGATTTATCGCACGGAGGTGTGAGGTTCCGCCGCCGCGCTCCCAGCTTCACTGTGTGCAGATGTAACAGTTTAGTGCCAGCAGCATTCCCACCATGGGGCCAATGCACTGTTTTACGGCTTTGCAGTTTGATTAGGCAAGACCGCAAACTGAGGGGCTATTGACGCTAGACCCCCCTCCCCCATCCCGCACCCCCCCTTTTTTTTCCCTCCAAACAGTGTCCCTCTGGCCTTTCAATTGTCATTTCAGTCCAAAAAAAAAAGATGCCATTTACACAAGGCTGGGACCGCCACGGGGAAATCAAGAGTTTTAGCGGTCAACGAGCAACAGGGATGCTCACGGAATACCGGAAAGCGACCGCGCATGATTTCCAATCGCGTTGTTTGTGAACAAATTAAAGACGGGTCTGATTGAAGCATTATTTTATGACACTCTGGCTTTTGAGTTAATTATACAGAGTAAAAAAAAAAATCCCATTTGACTAAAATTCAGCTTTCTTTAGCTTGCGGAGACTCAAAATAGTATTATTAGAAGAAAAACAGACCTGCTTTGAAGCGTTTTTTTAGGACCTCATCACTCTTCTAATAAGTTTATTGATGCCTAACATTTTATGTACTTTTAACAAACACCCACAGAACCCGAGAACATTTTCCTCCAATCAGTACGGCGATGTCTTTAAATGCTATCTCCATCAACGATAGCATTATCCTGTTTGATAGCATCGTGGTTTACAAAGGCGCCAGCTTTGTTGTTTTGGAAAAACGATTCCTTATGTCACTTTTGGGAGTGCCGTTGTTGTTGAGGGAAGTCATCGTGTTGCGGTTTTTTGGAGGGCAATTGGTGTGGTTGTTTCTGAAAATGATAACTGTGTTTTTTGGGTTACAGCTGTCGCTTTTTTTTTTTAAACGCTGGAGAACCCACGGGGTCAAATTTGGCCCCTATAAATTCTGCTACTCAAATGCTACCCTTAAATCCCAAAGGGTCAAATTTGGCCCTTATCCTAAATTAGGATTAAAGCATTAAATATTTGAAAAAACATATATTTTGGTGTTCAGTGAACATATAGCAATCATTTCATGTAAAATTCATCATTTTCCAAAGAAGAAAAGGGCTCTTGGGTTCTCCACTGTTTTAAACCAACTGCATTTACGGAAGCGCGAATCATGCTGTCATCTAAACTTAAAAACATAAAAATTCCACGTGTCATCTGTCACCTTTCAAAAAGACACATTTGGTTTTTCAGGGAAACAGTTATTTTTCCCGAGGCTTCCCCGTTCCTTGGCATCTTTAAAAGTTCTATTTTCCAAGATAATTCCGATGAACTCATTCAGTACAAGCCAATTTCTAGACCAAGTCTGAAAAGACGTTTCAAAACGTCTTTGGGAGTGAATGAGTTCAATATGACCCTCGCCACTCACTAGTCTTAAGAACGCCACAATTGATTGAACCGTAAAGTCAATTAAAAAGACATACATTCCGAGTATGGACTACAATTAGTCTTGCTCAAACCCGCAGATACCTCGTATGTCATCATTTCCTTTTTCTCGCGTTATTTATGAACTCTATGCCACCATTCACCTCCATCTCCCTCCTCTACTTTGGTTCTGACACTCACACGCACTTGTTTTGCTCACCCCTCCCTCTTTTTAGGCTCTTACCCCTCCTCTCGCTCTCCCTCTCAGGTTACGAGGACCAGGGCTTTTCTTGCTTCCCAACGTGTGTGTGTGTGTGTGTGTGTGTGTGTGTGTGTGTGTGTGTGTGTGTGTGTGTGCGCGCGCGTGTATCCTGCGCCGTGTCCTTGTCCCTGCCTCCCGGTTTTGCGAAGGAGCCACCCAGCAGCTGGCCTGTGATTGGGCCAGCCGAGCACGGGTGGGAGGTGGCGGTGAGGGAAAGGGGGGCTTCTCTCGACACGGCGGCAGCTGAGCTGACTGCTGCGGGACGTGTTTCAACAGATGGTCGAGGTTGGAGAGTGTCATCACATCGGAGAGGGGATTAGAGGCGAGAGGTTGTCTTCCAGGAGCTGTGTGGTCCCCCCCGCCGCCGCAGTCCTCCCTCCCTCACCACCCTCAAGTCCTCTTATGAGCGCAGGGGAACAGTCGCAGGATTCCTTTTGCCCGCACGCTGCCCCGCCAGGTACGTGACCAAATATTCAAGTCGGGAGTTGAGGTTCGTAGCGGCGCTGCGGTCACTTTCGATCTCCTTCCAACTCGGGGATGACAGGAATTCCCTCCGTCGCAAATTCCTCCGTCTCAAGGGATTAGTCGGCAGCACATTCCATTAATGTCTTTTTTTTTTTTTTTTTTCCACCCTCCCTTAGAATATTTATAGTCTCTTAAATGACAGCAGTGTCCTGTCCGCATCGTAAGAATCCGAAATTTCCCCATCAGCCTTGCTTTCCGAACATTTATGGCCATAAATGGGGAAAATGAAAAATGTCCACATTCCATTAACGCGCATTCATAAATCTATTTCCAAGTGCAACTCTGGCACATCTGCTTTTTTTTTTTTTTTTTTTTGGAGTCAAAATGGGACACGATCATCATCATCATCATCATCATCGTAACTTTGAAGCAGTCAAAAACTCGGAATGTCCAGGTTTTATAAAACAATCTTGTTGATCGATCAATCCGTCTGCCTGCCCATCTGTTTAACCTGAAATGGACAAGCAGCTGAAAAGTGCTCCTTGCGGAGGAGCTGTCAAGTCTCGGGAGGACGTGGGAGGCAGAGGGGGGGAGGCAGAGGGATGCCGGCACCTCACTTTGCCACTGTGTATAACTTCAACTCAAGTGAGACAGGAAAAGGGGGGAATAAGATGTATCGTATTTATATCTACCGACGGGGGCTCCGTGGACGCGCGATTGAGATTGCGCAGCTGTCATGAAAAAAAAAAAGGCACGAGACGACGTGCGGCGTGAAAGCCGCCGTTGTGCGAGCCGGTTGTTGACCCTGGTAAACCAGCCGTAGCTGCGCTTCCTGCCTGGTACTTGAAGTACTTAACCCCCGGTAGGCTGTGATCGTTGCGGCTTTTCAGTCAAGACGCTTTTGCCGGGGTGAAAAAAAAAATAAGAAGAATAAATGTTCCTGAAAGATCAGATCTGCGTCTGAAAACGTGAAAGATCTCAATTGGGAGACGCTGCCAGACTGTGTGCTCTGTTCCTGCGGTTTGGCAGTCTTCTCTTTCGCATGTAATCGACAGATCAAAAGTTAGCTAAAAAAAAAAAAAAAAAAAAAAAAAACAGCGTGTCAAAACGCCGGTATTCCAATCCAAAAATGCATTTATTTATTGACATTTAACATTTTACTGATATGTCTCAAAAAGCTTGTTAAAGGCGGCGATGTGTTTGCGGTTGAACAAATTCTTGACCAAATGCGGTTTGTTTGAAACCGATTCTGACAAGTGTCAACACAGACTCGAAGTCATCTTGGCGGTCAAGAAAACTGCGCATCACGGTTCACTTGAGCGTTCCCACTTGGCCCCAAACCGACACGAGATTTCAAACAAACCAAATGAGGCAAGTGTGAACGGAATCGGTCTCACTCCGTTTTTTGGGTGAGCGTCAAGTTTTTTAGAAGGGTTGCGTTCACTCTCGACCAATTTCGTGAAGCGTTAACACGGCCCGGAAGCTCATTCTGCTTCTTTAGTCGGCAACAGGTTTCGGTTGATAGCATTGACACTTGGCCAAAAGGGGAAAATCCGTTTTAAAGGAAACCAAACCTGACGAGTGTGAACACAGCCAAGCCGGTTTGTCGATTTGTGTGCCACCGAGAAGGTTTTTCGTGACTGTGTCCACACCCGACGAAAACCAATTGAATCTAAAGAGCAATGGCGCCGATTTGGACCGAACCAAACGCTTGCATATGAGTTGTTGTTTTTTTTTTCCTGTCGAGTAGGCAGTTTAGATGACACCCCGTGTTGTGTTTCGACTTCGAGGGTGTTCCTTTGAAACTGTGCAGCTTCAGCGTGCTACAAACAACAACCCGAGTGAGCGGCAGCTGCTGCAAAGAATTAGGACTTTGGTTGGCGGGGGTTGACTCTGGCCAAGACAAACATTATTCCAGTTGCAACTCTACCATCTTCTCACTGTTTTGTTTTGTTTTTTTTTCTTTTCAGTCACACAAATGTAATTCCCGTCATTGAGCTTATCGAATGGCTAATTGATGTGATAAATTATCGCGGCTCGCTTTGGAACGGTAGCAGTAAGCTATGTTGTTGTCATATCTGGGGATCTGCTGGCGCTCCATTTTCTTGATTGGTTTTGGTCTCTTAAGGAGTTGGGGGGAGGGGCCGAGGGATTGGGGGGGCGGGGCAAAGGCAAGACGCATTTCAGTGATCTTTGAAGAGCGCCCTCTGCTGGAGACTTGACAGTTGAGTTTGTCGTCTCCCATGTCAGATGCTCAAACAGTGTGTTTGGAGGCGTGGCCAAACGGTGAGTTTTAATTGATTAAAGTGAAATACGATCATTGACCGGGGATCAAAAACACGATGCTTGTAATCAAAAGGATGTCGTTGTTCTCACGTGCCTTTTAAATCAGGGGTCGGGAACCTACGGCTCGCGAGCCAGGTGTGGCTCTTTTGATGATTGCATCTGGCTCGTAGATAAAACAAAATATTCTCGCTTTTTTAATCCATCCATCGATTTTTCACTGCTCATGTCCTGTTCAGGGCTGCAGTTGGCTGCGGGAGCAATTTTCATTGGATGATACCGGCCTACGTAGGCCGTTGCTGGGGAAACAGGTCAACGCCCCCTTTTGAATCAGCCCCCTCGGTCATTAGCTCAAAGCTAATCCTTCGACGAATAAAATGGCGAAAAGTAAAAAAGATGACAAGAATGGTCCACTTCAGGACGAATGGACCGAAGGATTCGCCTCTGCGGGAGACAGCAGAATCGTGCATGCTACTTAGCAGGGTGCGAGCTAGCCAGCAGCAACTCCGCGTATGGACCCCGCAAGCTGACGATATTTCCGCTAGCTTCGCCGGATGTTTAGCAATCGCGAGGAACGGAAAACCATTCACATTCGTGAAAAAGCTTCCCGACCCCTGTTTTAAAGAAATCAACTTTTATGAACATGGTATTTGAACCCATTCAGGGACAGCGGTCACTACAGTGGACAGCTTAGCATGTTATCAGGTTACAGGGTGCATGAAAGAGTTTTAAAAACCGACTTCAGCGATTAGCCGTCCAAAAAGCGATTCCAGAGCTTACGTGTTGTTATTGCCGTATATTTTTAGAAGCTATCTCCAGGGGTAACACGCCATCCAGCATTGATCTATTTTGGAGCTCACAATGCACCCCCTCAGTCCCTGGTAACCCTCCCCCCCACACCCCCCACCCCCCTTTCCAACCAAGTGTTTGTTCAGCCTCTCATTTCAGCGGCGAAGGTCAGGACATGCAAACATTCAACTCCTGGTCGTCACTGGAAGGAATTCTGATGCGTTGCTTTGTGAAATGAGCTTTTTCCTTACGCCGTAACGAGCATCTGCCGAAGATAAGATAAATTAGCCTTTCACCACTTGCTTGTTCTTGGAGACGTTTTTTTTTTTTTTTTTTTCCAAAAAGTAAAATCGGAATCGTTTAGGCCTGTTGTTAAAGTGACAGCGCTGTCTTTGGAAGAACTGCGGACGAATGCGTGGGTTCGAGAATATCGTCTGTACAGCGTCGATATTCCGGCGGGAAGATTCTTAAGTCATTTTCCTTTTCGAATCCAGGTAAGGCAATTGAGATGAGATTCTCATTTTCAATGCCGATCTGCCATCCCGACACAAAATGGGTTGTTGAAGTTCGGGGCGAATTCCCCGCTGTCCGAGGTAGTATCGGAGGCGAATCGGATCCGGTGTCTGAGGTCGTATTAGAGACCGCATGTTGACTGTGTGAACGGAAAGCCGTGACAGGGACATGATGTTTATCACCGGAGATCGCCTGTTGCATTGAAAGGCAAATGTTTGACACATTAGACCACAGGTGTCAAAGTCAAGGCCCGGGGGGCCAGATCTGGCCCGCCACCTCATTTTATGTGGCCCGTGAAAGCAAATCAAGCATGTCAAGTTCCATCATACTTGCTAAAATCTGAATGAAAATTTCAAATTGTCATATGTAGTCCACAATAACAGTCATTATTCTTGACTTTTGATTTTAAAACTAGTTATCCATCAATTTGTGGTCGGCTGTGCATGTAATATATGGAGGCGATCAAACGTTTAGATGGTTTCCCACAATTCCTAACGGCCCTCCAAGGGAAACCGACGTGGCCCGCGAGAAAAAATGAGTTTGACACCCCTTTCATTCGACCCCCTCATTCCTTGTCGCTACCTTTCACACAGCGCGGCGAGGAGAAAGCCAGTTTTGAGGAGCAGTGCGAAAAGGGGGCTAACAAGCGAAAACAGAGGTTCGGTCTGAGCCACGAGCGCCACCGTGATCTTCCCGCAATACGGGCGCGAATAAAAGAAACACAGGAGAGACACACACACACACACACACACACACACACACACACACACACACACACACGCGCGCGCGCCACC